GAAATAATATAAAAATTTAGAATTAAAAGAGAAAATCTTGCTTGCCCTGCCCACCCCAATCTTTTTTTTTTTTTTCCTGATGGTAACCATGGTTACCCTGGGACCTGGAAACCTTATTGTTCTTCTTGAGGTCAGACACTCCAGATCCTTGCTAGAGACTCCTTTCATTCCACCTTCTCTCCATCTAATTCCATCTTCCATTTTGCATATAAGAATTCTAGCAGATCTGTATTATAATCCCCACTTGGCAGCTAAGAATTTGAGGCTCAGAGAGGGGAAGTTAGTTGCTGAAGGACACAAGGCAGAGGCAAGGGTTCAATCCCAGGTGAGTGTGTCTAACCCAAGTTCAGTGTTTTTTCCACTATATTCCTCTGCCTGACTCCAATCCAGAATCTTAGAGCTTAGCTGTGTCACACAAGGCAGCAGATAAATTCTCAGGTTTAAATATTATTAAGGGCCCATTTTTGAGGAAAGAAATGACCTGGTCCTGTGAGAACTGTGACTGACCATTCCTTTATGGCCAAGTCCTGAACAGTGGCAAAATAGGTCAACTCCTTAAAGAAGTGTCAAGCTTGGGTGAGCTAGTAACTTAAAGCCTGACTTGATCAGTGAGAAAGGCCTAGGTTTGGAGACTTGCCCACTAAGGCAGGATCAGAAGCAGGAAGAAAATATCAAGCTGAGTGCCGGGGGCAGGGAGACAACCAAGTGGTGAAATGAGCAAAAGGAGTTTCCAGAGAAAATTCCCAGCATGCCCCAAACATCCCACACTCTTGCCCACCACTGTGCCTTTGCACATACTCTGATCAGAATTCCCTCATTCCATTTGTCTGCTCAACATTTTTACCCTTTCAATCAACTCATAATGTCTCTACCCCTCCCAAACCAGACCACTCTCTCTTTATAGAATCTACCACCCTGTATGTGTGTGAAATATTTGTTTCCTTGCCTATCTCCCATGAGAGTATATGAACTGAGGCTCTGGACTGGGCCCCTGGGTTATTATGCTTTGGGTACCTCACAATGTCTAGCTTATGATTCATCATGTAATAGGTGCTCAATCAATATTTGTTTAATGGTGCACGAATAGATTCAGATAGATGGAGAGCAGCAAGTTGTTCACAATTTAATGCAAGAGACTGTTTCTTTTTGGGACTCCAGCTCTGCTTATATCTTCATTTGCAGGGCTGAGGTTGTGGCTCAATGGTAAAGAACTCACCTAGAATATGTGAGGCACTGGGTTCGATCCTCTGCCCCACATAAAAACAAATAAACAGAATGAACGTATTATGTCCATCTACAACTAAAGACATTTTTAAAAAGAACTTCACTTGCAGTGAGTGAGAAATGGTTGTGTTTTTTTCCCTCTATTGTCCCCTTCTGTCACCCTCAGCTCACTTCAGACACTCAAGGTATTGACATAGAAAGATGGGTAAGAAGTAGGAAAAATCGAGTATTATAGCAGGCTTTGTGCTTTTTTTGGTCTCCCAGATGACCATTACTGTCTCTATCCATCATCAAAGTGTCATGAAATGGTTTTAGGCTCCTCAGTAGTTCCCTGCTGGGCTCCTTTCCTTACAGGTCCCTTAGCAAAAGACTTCTCTGTTACCAGTGCTCATTTGTCTGTATTATTATTCTTGGGGCCTCTTTACCCCTACTGAACAGGACTTAGGGTGGTTCTGTAGGCTCTCTCTTATAGCCCACATCTGGCCTTCAGAAAACACTCACTGACAAATTCTGGGAGAGTAGGCAACATCCACAGACTCTCCTGGCTCTGCCACCAAAGCAGCTAGCAGGTTTGTATTGTCTCTGGCTGCTGGGATTCCCAGGCAGGAAGCAGGCCTATCACTATGCTCCCCAGCTATAATAGTGATGGATTTGGCACCTTAAATTCTTGTGGAAGCCGCTTTCCCCAATCACTTGACCAGAGTATTTAAAGATAGCATTCCCGCCAATCTTCCCCAAGGAGGGGTGAGGACCCACAATCAGAAATATTGCTATACAAATTCTCTATCCCCTATGCTCTTGATTCCTCTATATTCTTTTTT